AAAATCTTGGCTACTATAAAGGTTGGCAAAGTCAAATGCCTTCATAGTAGGTGTCATGTCCACAGCCCCAATTGTACCAGGGCACAGTGGGGTAGGTTGTGGGAAAGCCAAAGAAAGTGTCCAGAGATAGCATGAAAGACATGTGATTTATTGGGAAACCCTCACAACAGATCAGTGCTACCTCCAAAAAGAGTTCAGTGTTGACGGGATTGCAGATAGCACTTTTGCCTTTCATGGTGCTTTGACAACTGGTGCCTCTGTTCCTCATGGCACTTTGTCCGGTGGTGGTGGCTGGACTATTAACACATATTCTTCTTTCCACAGTATGCTCAATCTATGCTGATCCCTACTCAGAGAGGGGTTTTATATCTTAGACTGCAGAAGCAGTGCATTCATCAGCATTAGCTGATTAGTTAGCATGTCTAACCAGCATCCTAAGGAGTACTGTCTGGGTGTACATGTAAGAAAATAGCTGTCTACAGTAGCACTTAGTAGCCCTACTTCCCATTTTGTGTAAGAGAAAGCCCAGTTCCTTTAAGATAATATATAACAGGACTTTCCAGCCCAGGCTTGCTCTCAGGGTTTCCTTAACTTGGCAAGGATTTTGGGAACAGAAAGGGGGCATTCAGTAACATGCAGTTTTACTCTTCCCCTTTTCTTTAGGGATGATACACTGGGATAAGTTGTTACACAGATCATCATGGAAATAAATATACAATATTCTCATCTAAAAATGATGACAAGAATCATATGACTAGAGAATTGAGTCTCTCTATAATAAAGACAATGATAAATCTGCATTTTAAAATTTTATTTGTAATTAATATGACAATATAATATGCAAAGCAAATTTGAAGATCATTAATGTTTTGAGCAGATAATCAGAAAATAATTAAATAATATTATTTATATCATTTTATTCTTTCTAAGATCAGCTTTGGAGGGATTCCTGGACTTGGAAAATCAGTGGTGTTCCCACATAAAAGCTTCAATGGGTGTTTTGAAAATCTCTTTTATAATGGAGTGGATATCATTGATTTGTCTAAGAAACACAAACCAGAGATACTCATCATGGTAAGAAAGTCCAAATGTGTGCTTTAGTAGAGAAAAGAGGTGCAATTTGTTTTGTTGATTCCGTTTTAAAATATATTTCTTCTAAAGGTACAAATCATACATATTTTTTGTTTATGTTTGATATAATTTTTCTATATATATGAAATGGATACATAATGTTACAAAAAATGAAATGAGATTATGTAACAGTTTTTAATACACTTTTTGTGGTAATAAGAATACTTAACATGAGATCCACTTTCTTAAGAAATTCTTAAGTGTGCAATAACGTATTAACTATAGGCAGATCTCTAGAATTTATTTGTCTTCCTTAACTGAAACTTACATGAGTTATGTGGCAAATCCCCATTTTCCTCTGCTCTTATTCCCTGGTAACTACCATTCTATTCTCTGCTTCTCTGAGTTTGACTGTTTTATATAACCCATTTAAGTGGAATCATGCAGTATATGTCCTTCTGCAAATGGCTTATTTCTCTTAGCATAATGTTCTCCTGGTTCATATATATATATATATATATATATATATATATATATATATATATATTGCTGCATATGGCAGGATTTCCTTTTAAAAGTTGAATAATATTCCAGTTTGTGTGTGTTTTCTATATCCACTCATCCTCTGATAGATGTTTATATTGTTTCTACATTTGGGCTATTGTGAATAATGGTAGTAAACATGGGAGTGAAAAATATTTTTGAGATCTTCATTTCAAATCTTTCAAATAAATACCCAGAAATGGGATTGCTGGATCATTTGGTAGTTGTAGTCTTCACCTTTTGAGGAACCTCCGCTTGACTTTCCCTAGTGACTGCATCATTTTATATTCCCACCAACATACTTGTTTTGCTGTTGAGTTTCTGGAGTTCCTTGTATGTTTTGGAAGTTAATCATTTGTCAGATATACAGTGGGTAAACCTCTTCCTCCACAGGTTACCTTTTCACTCCTGGTTGTTTCCTTTGTTCTACAGTACTGTTTTTAGTTTGAGGTACTCCCACTTGTCTATTTTTGCTTATATTATTGTATTTCTAGTGTCATAACCAAGAAATAATTGCCAAGGCCATGTCATAAAGCTTTCCCCTGTTTTGTCTTATGGTTTTGCAGTTCTTGGTCTTACATTTACTGTGCCTTTAATCTATTTTGAGTAGAGTTTTGCTTATGGTGCCCAACAGAGTCCAATATACAGTTTTCCCCACACCAATTATTGCAGAGACCATCCTTTCCCTGTGATATATTCTGGGCACTCTTGTGGAACATCGGGTGCCTTGTATATGTGTGGATTTATTTTTGGTTTTTATTCTGTTTCTTTTGTTGATATGTTTATCTTCATGCTCATACCATTATCTTTCAATTACTGTAACTTTAAAATATATATTGAAAACAAAATATATGATGTCTCCAGCTCTCTTCTTTTTTTTTCTCAAGATTGCTTTGGCTATATAGGATCTTCTATGGTTCTATATGAAATTTAGGGCTATTTTCTATTTCAATAAAAAATGCCATAGGGATTTTGGTAATGAATGGATTGACTCTGTATATTACTTTGTATAGTATTGCCATTTTAACAGTACTATTGTACCATTCATGAACATGACATGTTTCTCTGTCTTATTTATTTTATCTTTGTTTTGGAGTTTTCTATATACTCCAAGTTTTCATGTTTTCTTACCTTCTTAGTTAAGTTTATCCTCAGTGTTTTATTCTTCTTGATGGTACTGTAAATGAGAGTGCTTTCTTAATTTCTCTGTTTGTCAGCTTTCTGTCACTGTGACAATATACTTGTGATTATCAATTTATAAGGAAGAAAGGTTTATTTTGGCTCAGAGTTTCATAGGTTTCATTCTATGGTCACTGGACCATAGAGAGAACCAGGCTTGTAACACATGAGCCTTGAGGGAGCATTAGGACTCCAGCTTCTTCTTTTTGCTCTCTTTGCTTCCTAGCTGCCATGAGGTGAATAGGCCTCCTTGGTCATATGCTTTCACCATGATATACTTTCTCACAATAGGCCCAAAGCAGCAGAGTCAAGCAACCCATAGACTGAAATCTCTGAAACTGTGAGCCAAAATAAATCTTCCCTTCTTATGAGTTGATTGGTATTCTCTCACACTTAGTCAGAAAGCTAACACAGAAACACAACAGATTATTTTTGTGTTGATATTTTTTATCCTACAACTTCATTACTTTTTCTCATTAATTATAGTTTTTAAAAATATTTTTATTATTGATGAGCCTTTCTTCCTTCCTTCCTTCCTTCCTTCCTTTCTTCCTTTCTTCCTTTTGTGCTGAGAATCCAATGCCTCACACATGCTAGGCAAGTGCTCTACCACTGAGCCACAACCTCAGCCCTAATTACAATTTTTTAAATATTTAGTATCTTTTCTAAGGTGTCACCTGCAAAAAGTGATAACTTTACCTCTTCCTTTCCAATTCAGGTGCTTTTTGTTTCTTTATCTTGCCTAATTGCTGACTCTGGTTTTTATTAAGATGTTGACTATAAATGGTAGGGCATTCTTACTTTATTCTTCAAGGAAAAACTTTTATTTTTTTTCACCATTGAGCATATTAGCTGTAGGTTTTCTACATATGACTTTTATTATGTTGAGGTTATATCCTTCTATTCTTAATTGTTGGAGTTTTTAGCATGAAATGGTGTTGAATTTTCTCAAATGACTTCTGTGCATCAATTGAAATAATCAAGTGATTCTTTAAATCCTTTGTTCTATTTATTTAGTCTATTACATTAATTGATTTTCATATATTGACCCACCCTTACATCCCAAGAGTAAATCCCACTTAGTCATAATGTGTTATTCCTTTAATCATGTTGTTGAATTCAGTCCTCTTATATTTTGTTGTATATTTTTTCTGTGTTCATCAGAAGTATTATTTTCTGGTTTTGCTTTGTAAATCATCTATAATTTTAGTTGTAGGGGCATTGCTGGTCTCTGCATGAGTTTGGAAATGTTCTCTTCTATGTTTTTAAAAGAGTTTGAGAAGAATTGGCTTCAATTCTTTAAATATTTCTTTGGTGGGATATTTTAATCATCATTTCGGGATTCTTACTATTCTAGTTCCAGATCTATTGAGATTGCCTCTTTCTTCATCACTTGTTATTTTTTAAAAAATATTTAATTTTTTAGTTGTACACAATGCCTTTATTTTTATTTGTTTTTATGTAGTGCTGAGGATCGAACCCAGGGCCTCACGTGTGCTAGGCGAGTGCTCTACCGCTGAGCCACAACCCCACACCCTCATCACTTGTTATTAATAGGTTATACCTTTGTGGAAATTTATGCATTTCTTCTATGTCATCAAATTTGTTGGCATTTAATTGATCTTACAGTCTCTTAGTATCCTTTTAATTTGTGTGTTATCAGTTATAATGCCTTTTCTTTCATATCTGGTCTTATTTATTTCAGTTTTCCCTTTTATCTTGTGTAACTAAAACTGTGTGAATTTTCTCAATTTTTTTTTCAAAAAACCAACTCAATTTTATTAATTTTTCTATTCTTTCCTTCATTGGTTTATCTTCTAACCTTTATAATTTCGTTTCTTTGATGAGGTGGGTGGGCTTTGTTTCTTTGCCTAGTTCTTTGAGTTATAAAGTTTGGTTTTTGTTTTATATCTTCCTTCATTTTCAGAGTGGGCATGAATTATCATGTTCTATTCCATAAATTGTGACATGGAGTGTTCTCATGTTCATTTGTCTCGTGGTATTTTCTAATTCCTTTTTCTTTCTTTCTTTTTTTTAAAAAAATTATTTGTTTGTCTTTATGTGGTGCTGAGGATTGAACCCAGTGCCTCACACATGCCAGGCAAGTGCTCTGTCACTGAGCTACAGCCCCAGCCCTAATTCCTTTTTCAATGTATGCTTTGATGCACTGGATTATTCCAGAGACCTTTTATTACCAGGAGTGGCAGCACATGTTTTTAATTCTAATTCCTGAGGAGACTGAGGCAGGAGGATCAGAAGATCAAGGTCTGCTTGGGAAATTTAGCAAAATTTCCCAAAATAAAAATAAAATTGGGGGAAAAAAAAAGAAACAGTGGGCACGTAGCTTAGTGGTAAAGTGCATGCCTGCATGCCTTACATATATGGTGCCCTGGTTTCAGACCCCAGTACCAAAAACAAACAAACAAATAGAAAAAGGCATAGTGTTTAATTTTTACACATTTGTGAATTTTCCAGTTTTCCTTCACCTGTTGAATTCCAGTTTATTCCATAGTGATCAGAAAATAACTTTTTAATGAGTTTAGTCTTAAATTTGTTATGACTTGTTTTGTGACCTAGTATGTGATCTATCCTAGAGAAAGTTTCATATGTGTTTGAGAAGAATGTGTATTCTGCTATTGAGTAGAATTCACTGTGTATACAATTTGGTGTACATTGTTGTTCAAATATACTGTTTCTTTTTTTATTTTCTGTGGTGATGGTTCTATCCAGTTTTGGAAGTTGGACATTGAAGTATCCTACTATATTGAATTGCTTCAGTTGTGTCAATGTTTGCTTTATATATTTAGGTTCTCTGATGTTAGTACATTTATTTTTATAATTATCGTATCTTACTGGTGAATTGACACTTTTATTATTCTTTGATGTTATTAAAGTTTTGTCTCTGGTAATACTTTTTGACTCAAAATTTATTTTGGTTGATATATATTTAGCCACCCATGCTGTATTTTGGTTATAACTTGCATGGAATATTTTGTTGCATTACTTAACTCAGACTGTATCTGTTCTTATATGTAAACCTGAGTCTCTTGTAGAAACACATATTTGGATCTTGATTTTTCATCTGTTCAATCACTCTTGTGTCTTTTGGTTGAGGAATTTAATTTATTCATAGTAAAGCAATCATTAATGAGGAAGGTGAATATTTTTGCTTATAGCATTTCTAACACTAAATGTGTGTGGTATCTTTCCTTCTGATGCCAAATTTATGTTACCTTTTCTAACACCAGTTCTCCAATTCTTGGACACCAGCTGTGTGTCCT